TTCCATGTCGTGTGATGCTTGTGTATCACTAAAGCACAATGTCCACACCACCTTTATCTGCAGGAATTCAACAGATCTCATTTGCAGTATCAGGTAATTTGGGTGGGTGTAAGAATCAGGGCATGCACCGAGAGGCTGTTCGCTGCTGTGCATTCATTTAATGGTTGGACTTGATGTCTTAAAGGTCTTTTCCAACCTGGCTGATTCTATGATTCAAAGCCATTGTAAACAAGCAGGTCAAGTATTTTTGGCAAGGCAGAGGCTGTTTTACACAGTGGTGCTCTCACAGTCTCAGTGTATATTATACAGGGGAAAAAATACTGCCTTTTTCATTTTAAACTTGCTGCCTGGTCATTTTCTTGGGCCCTTTGTGGCTCAATTGTGAAGGGTGAATGCCCTTCCCAGGCAGCTCCCACTCTCTAAGTCATGGTCTGTTTTCCCTCCCTGTTTACACCCAAAGGAAAACACCACATTTCCAAATAGAACTCTTGTCATCCAAATAAGGATGACTGAAAAATAAGCCATTGGAAAGTGGTGCCAAAGGACAGCTGCTGGTTCACAGGCTGGCCAGAGCTGAGCCATGCACACACCCAGCCTCGTGTCATGCAGCTCATCGGTGGAAATCCTCTGCCATCTGCTGGTACAAATCACTAGAGGTCTGTGCTTAGAGGCAACTGCCTTATAATAGAACAGTAGGAGAAAAGAGGCATCTTTGAGGTATATAAGTGCTTGTCTAGGATAAACGTTACCTGCTTTGGTCCAGTGCAATCCTCTAGCTCCTGAGGACATAGAGCCCGTAGTCTTCTGCCAGCACAGCTCTTGGCCAGGGATTCATTTATGTAGTGACAGAACAAGGGGTGATGGATTTAAACTGAAACAGAACTTCAGGTTGGAGATAAGGAACAAGTTCTTCCCTGTGAAGATGATGAGGTGCTGGCAAAGGTTGCCCAGAGAAGTGGTAAATGCTCCATCCCTGGCAGTGTCCAAGGCCATGTTGGACAGAGCCTTGGGTGACATGGTCTAGTGTGAGGTGTCCCTGCCTGTGGGATGATCTTAAGATCCTTTCCAACCCAAACCATTCAGTGAATCTATGACCAAAGCTATGAACCAACACCTCTGTGCAAGTACTGTTACACTGGGAGAACTCTCCTTTTGCCACTTTTCCCAGGAGGAGTGTGCACATGCAATGCAGAACCACAAGTAGCACAGCCTGAACTAGTAGAGTCAATATGATCTGAAAAGGTACCACTGAAACAGAAACCACCTCTTTGTTACCTGTCTTTTCACTCACAGAAGCCTTGCCTGGACTTCAGCGCCAGCAAGGAACTTGGATGCACTTAACAAGAGAAATATTGAGCCAAGACTCAGACTTTGCCAGGGAAATCCTGCTGCTGCATCTCTATCTATTTTTGGTTCTGGCCTTTGCTGCTCAGCTGAAGCTCCTTGAAATGTACCAGCCCAGTTCCAGGCTCTTTCTCACTTCATGTTGAGGAGCACTTTAGGGGTTCAGAGCCCCTCCATCATATCCAAGGAGAATCAAGCTAAGAGCCTGGACTTTTCTTCTTCCTTTTCCTGCTTAATGAAGGACTCTGAGCCTGCTGGCCTGTCTGCATTTCCTCATCAGTGCATTTGGTCTTATTTATTCCTGCAAACCACATCTCTACTCCTAGATTAGCACAAGTACAACAGCTATTACAAAGGAAGATGAAAACCAGGGCTCATAGTCTTGCCCAGTAACAGCAGATGATTGCTGGGGGGGGAATGGGACAGAGTTGAGAGGCAGAAAAGCAGCTTCATTTCCAAGGCATGTTTAGGGTTAGAGCACCAGGCTGGTTCAAACCCTCTCGTTTCCAAGTAGGCAGCAGAGGAACTTGCTGACAGATGGGTGTTTTTCCCAACTCGGAAATGACTGGGCCAATAAACTAGGATTTCCTTTCAATCAGCTCAGAGAATTCGATCAACGTTATTTGATGTAACAGAACTGGGTTGGAGCCAAACAGTGGGTTTGAGCTATCTCCAAAGCTATTTGTATTTTACTTCTTTGCATCTTAATGCAGCTCTTTCTCTCTCTTTTCCTTCCCATTTCTCTCGTCCAACACCAAGCCTTGCCTGCACTTCCCATTTGGCTGTATCATTAGTTTTCTCATTTGCTGTTATTTTTGATTTCCATCCAGGCTTTATGTGATATTAATAGCGATTCCATAAAACCATAATCTTCCTCAAACCAGTCCTAATATTAGCAGGAGAAAGAGCCAAAAAGCATTGCTGAGGCCTGAAGGATTTAAGCTCTGAATTTCTCTTCCATTCTGCCAGCACTGCCCATAGCCCAGCTCAGCCCTTACCCCAGGGAGTGTCTGTCTGTCTGTCTGTCTGCCACCCAACACACACAGTCCCGTCCTGGCCATGTCACGCAATGGAGAAGCAGCTTGGGCAAGCCAAAGCGTGCAGAAAGAAGATGCTTGAGTGAGGATTCAGGAATAAGAACTCATTTATAGTCTAATTCATGCCTCAGTCTAATCAAGATAGAGCAATTTACTCTGCTCTCACGAGACCTCACTTGCAGCACTGGGTGCTGTTCTAATGTCCTCAATGTAAGAAGGACATGGAGCTGTTGGAGCAAGTCCAGAGGAGGCCACGGGGATGAGCAGGGGCTGAACAGCTCCCATACAAAGACAGGCTGAGAACATCGGGGCTGTTCAGCCTGGAGAAGAGAAGCTGCATGGAGACCTCAGAGCAGCTTCCAGGGTCTGAAGGGGGCTACAAGGATGCTGCAGAGGGACCTTCATCAGGGACTGGAGTGATAGGACAAGGGGTGATGGGTTCAAACTGAAACAGGGGAAGTTCAGGTTGGAGATAAGGAAGAAGCTCGTCTCTGTGAGGGTGCTGAGGCGCTGGCACAGGGGGCCCAGAGAAGCTGTGGCTGCCCCATCCCTGGCAGTGTTCAAGGCCAGACCGGACAGAGCCTTGGGCAACATGGTCTAGGTATGAGACATCCCTGCCCATGGCAGGGTATTGGAACTAGATTATCTTAAAGTCCTTTCCAACCCTAAGTATTATGTGATCCTATAATCCTTCACTGCTCAACCTGTTCCAGCAGTGCCTACAGCTAATATCCAAATTATTCCATTTCTACTAAAGGTTGTCAGTAATAGAAAAACAACAAACACAGCAGCCAAAAGTATCTACCCCAATCCTCTAATGCCAAATTCTCCCTCCTTCCTTTGCTGTAGTGCCTCATCCGCATCCTGGGGGTGGGGAAAGTGATGTTGATGGGTTTCATTTCTTCTTTGCTTGGAGGAATATGATTATAGCTTGATGGTTTCTTCATTTTTAGTTTACTATCTGCTTGGGCCTAGTTTATTGTTTTTTAATGGATTTTCTACTGGTCTCTATATTTCAATCTTTCTTCACAAAGCTGCAATTCCATGTTACAGCCAGATACACCATGTGTCCTCTGTGGGTCCTGTGTTTTGCCTCTGTTTTTTATGTTACCTCTAAGACTGGTTTCTGACACTTGCCAAACTCATGTTCATCAATGATCAGTACCCCAACACTGGCCCTCCCTCAGCACAACCTGCTCAAGCAAGTACATGGGATTGATCCCAGGCACAGCCATTGTATTTCAGTTATACAAACCCATGCCAATTTAACACCTCAAAAATCAGGTAGGTAAGAAGCACCTTGTTGCTAGGGAGTTACAGCTAAACAAACTACTGCAAAGCTTCAGGCAGGCTGGGACAGATCCAGACAAAACCAGACCAACAAGCCCCAGTGCCAAGGTCTGAGAGTCAGTTGGAGCCGTTCAACAGTGATGGCAATGCCGTATTTACACTCTGTTGCCCAGAATCTTCTATCACCTTAACCCTGTTACTTCTTAAGAGCTTTAATGCTAACAAAGCCAGTTTCAGTGGGGAGGGCTCCAGGGGGGAGTTTGAATCCTGCTGCTCTGACCACTGGGTTTCCTTTGTTGTTTATCCAGATCCTAGTCCCATTTTGTAAAGAGAAGATAGCAACTTCCAGACAGGGAAACCAGGATACTTTCATTTCTGGTTTAAGCTTTTTTCTTTCAGTTTTCTTTCTTTCAAGACAAATTGCTTAATCAGACCTTGCCCAGAAGGAAGTGCTCTCTATTTAAGGATCAGTCAATAAGTTACAGACTCAGTGCTGCCCTGTGCATCTGCTGCAGTGTGGAAGAGATCCAGCCCAAGCCATCACTCCCTAAGCGTGCCACTCCATCCACAGCAAGAATGAGGTAAGTGCACAGCTTCCATCCTTGTAGCAACTCTAGAGAGAGTGGCTTTGGGTTCACTAGGCAGAAAAAAGGTCCTTGTTCAGAACCACAGGATGGTTATGGTTGGCAGGGACCTCTGGAGGTTATATCTTGACCACCCCCCTGCTCAAGCAGGGCCACCTAGAGCAGGATGCCCATGACCACATCCAAACAGCTTTTGAGTATCTCCCTCTGGTTCTCTTTATCATCCTCACAACTAAAAGACAAAGAGTTTCCTAGTAAAGCTTCATGAGTTTTAGTTTGTGCCCATTGCTTCTTGTCCTGGCACTGGGCACCACTGGTAAAAAGCCTGGCTCTGCCTTCTTTGCACCTTCCCTTCAGGTTTTCATATATGTTTCTAAGATGTCTCTGAGCCTTCTCTTCTCTAGGCTGAAGAGTCCCAGCTCTTTCAGCCTTTCCTCAGATGAGAGGTGCTCCAGTCCAACATCTTCATGGCTCTTTGTTGGACTCTCCCTCCTGAGCCATCTCTTGCTGCATCATTCACATGAAGCCACAGCCCCTATTTCTTTCCCATGGGGAACAGAGAAGTTTTCGTTGTGTAGTTTTGGCTGGCTCTACTCTTCCCATTTGTGAAGCCCATCTTAGGGCCTTTATCTTGGGTAAGAGCTGCAGCTGTTTCAAGTACAGCTAGGAGCTCCTTTGTGCTCTCTGTGGGTACCACAGGACCCCACATGCTGCCTATTCCTAACCCACATTTTCCTTTCTGCAGCAAGGAAGAGCTGAAGGAAAAGTTGGATGCCCTTCAATGCCATTTCACCTGGCATTTGAGTATAGTAGGCCACATTGAAACTAGCCATGTCCTGCAGAAGCTGGCTGTTGAAATCAAGTACACACCCCACCAAAACCAGGCAGCACTCTTGGGGCTGCAGGCATACCTGTACCAGCTGGAAGGTCAGAACAGAGAAGCTCTGCAAAGCCTTAAAGATGCTGAAAAGCACAAGAGACAAGATAAGCAGCAGGCATCTGCTGCTGATTCTTTGGTTATCTATGGGAATTATGCTTGGATTCACTACCTTCAGGCCTCTTACCAGGAGGCTGAAAGCTATCTGGAAGAAGTTCAGCAGCTCTGCACAACTCCTTTGGATGCACAGCTGATCCCATACATCCAGGCCCAGAAAGGCTGGTCCCTCCTGGCTATCAGAGCCCGGAATGGGGAACGGGCAAGAGAGTGCTTTGAAGCAGCATTGATGCTTGAACCAGAGAACAAGAACTTCCATGCTGGGCTGGGAATGGCTCTTTATTCCTCCTGGAATTACTTCTGGTATCCTGATATTGCAGAGGAAGCCAGAATCCAGTTGGAAAAAACTGTTCTTATGCATCCAAATAACTACAGAGCCAAAATATATTTAGGTGTTCTACTTGAACAAGTGAATACAGAAAGATCAATTGGCTTGGTAGAAGAAAGTGTAGAGAAAAGCTCTGATCCTGATGTCCTCAAGGCTTCAGCTTCCTTTTGGCTGAGAAGAAATTCTGCAGACAGGGCGATTCAGATATTACACCAAGCCCTGGAGCAGAATCCAGGTTACCACCTTCTCTACCAAGCCCTGGCCAAGTGCTATAAGATACAGTGGCTTAACGCAAATAGCGAAGACAAGAATAACATATTAGAAGCAGCTATCAAGGACCTCAACCAAATTCTTCAGGAACATCCAGACCTTGTGTTTGTAAAGCTGCAATTGGCAGAATTCTATGGTGCAAGAAACCCAGCACAGGAAGAGAAGATCTACAGAGAGCTGCACAAAAGAAAGGACACCCTGAGCCTCAAAAGCCTTCAAGCCCTTTATCTCTACTGGGGAAAGTTCTTCTTCTACAAGAAGAATTCACTTGATGAAGCAAAAGCAAAGTTTATGGATGGTTACAAGATTCCCATGGCAACAGCAGTGAGGAAGGAGTGTGCCCAGAAGCTGACCAAGCTGGCTCAGCACTACCATGGTGAGGCTGCTGCTGCTATTTTACGCTTCATGCGAGATACAGACCGCCAATTGCCTGCAGAATTCTCTGGAGGCGACCTAGAATGATGGCAGGAGACCCAGCCTAGGCAAAGCAGGGAATCCTTTCTGCAAAGCTAGAAGGCTTCCAGGACTAGTGTCTATCTCTCTTTCCAACAGCAGGCCCATCACCTCATATAGACACAAGGGTTCCATCCGTGTCTCAGCCCATCCCATTGCTTGTCCAGAAATACAGGCCTACCCATAGATAACTGACTGCCCCAAATTTACACACCAGGCCCTCAGTCCTGCTTCTCTGAGAGGAGGGAATGGAAACAAAGGTGAAGAATTTGGTCCATGAGGGCTGAGTACAATTCTTTGCAGGTACAGGTCTGCATCACTGCCTTGGAGTTGCTGTGGATCAGAACTAGGTGCCACTTCAGGGAGAGTGAGAAGTCTCTTCCGTTATCAGAAATATCATTTGCCACAAATAAGAAGGTGGCTTCATCCATAAGGTCATTTACTGCTGGGGGGAAGGGGGGGGCTTGATGGAGGTGAAGCACCACCATACAGGGCAGAGAGATAGTCCCTGTCCTGTTGCTTTAAATACAAACATAGCAAGAGCTAGCTGCTGCTTCAGGAGCATATAGTTGTGATTATATTAGCATGAATCCTTTGAACCATGTGTGTGCTTGCCTCTGCCTGAACATAAACCAGAAGCTTTGCTTTCTTGCACTGGTAAAATTCTATAGTACACATAACAAGCATTAGCCAGAGTATAAAACTGCAGGTCATATAGAACATCACGATTTACTCACCACACAGGTCATGACAGTTTTCCAGAGCTCAATAAAAAACAGTCTCTTTAAAAGTTTCTGTATGTGTTCCATAAATGTTTTCACACAGCACTGAGCAAGGTCACGTATCCCAGTTCGGGAAAGCAGGATTCCCAAAAGCAAGGATGCTCTTAACCCACTCTCAATCTCCTCACCAGTATGAGCAGCACTAGTCATTCATTCAGACTACTCTGGAATCTTTGGGGTTTGCATTTACAGACAGTTTTCCCTTTTAAATGCAGTACCAGGAAACATCTCTTTCCTAAGGTCACAGCCCCTCTGGCAGTTAAACAGAGCATCCTTTGCCCACCAGACAAAGGCAAGAGTGCCATCCTCAGGATTAAAGGCTACATGACCACAGCCCAAGTCACGAATTAGACTTGGGTGCTGCTGGAAAGACTTGGATCCAACAAATCAGCATCACTGCTGTGTGAAGAGCAGCTTTAAAAACCAAAATGAAGCTTTAAAAACCAAACAGCAAAACCCACAAACTTACAATCCTCATATGACTGTTCTACTCCATATGGGTACGAGTCTGGATGCTACTGAAGTGCCAGCGAGCTCCTCTAGGATTTTTTTTATTAATACTTGGAACAAATCCTGATAGTTACTTTCTTCACCAACACTAAATTCAGCACAGCATTAGATAATAAAAATACATTGCACAATAAAATCCCATTAAAAGTCTCAGTTAAGCTGGAAACTAAATGGAAAAAGATCTTATTACATAAGCTGCCAATGGCCATGGAGAGGACTTCTGTTTCTTGTACTGGTGCATACTGGTGTGCAAATGCTAGGACAATGCTACCTCCCAGGTCCGCTTCACTTCAGCATAGGAGATGCAAAGAAGTTACCCTGTTGCCCAAGCTGGGTTGTTGATTTGCTTTTGCTCCCAAATCTAGTTGAAGAGACATAGAAAAACAGCAGGTTTGCATTTGGGATGTAGAGGTTTAACAGGTTCCCTTCCCCAGGGTCTTTCACCCAGGTTGTACCCACCTCCCACACAAAGCATTGCTCTCCCTACCATAAGAGACCACTCATTAAGCGACCATGCAGCTTGCACTGTTACTACAGCATTGATGAGGGGAGAGTTGACTTAGTAAATCCAGGCTGCTCCCAGAACAGGTTCCAAAAGACTATTTTTAGTTCTCAACCTGCAGTGAGCCCAACACCTTCATAACACCCCACTGGCACTTACTTGGGGGTGGTTTTGCTGAAGGTAGAGCGGACCCTCTGGGACAGGGAGCTTGAAGATGGAGTCTTGGAGAGCTGGTGCTCCGGAGTAGTGAGGGGCCCAAGTATGCTCACTGCCAAAAAAAGAGGTAGTGAAGTGAGCAACATGGGGACAGCTGAAGCTTTCATTGCCATGCAAGGAACATTAGACATTTCCTAGCATCTGCCAAAAGTACTAGACAAAGATGGTGTTTTCCTGGCATGTTTTTCTTCCCTCTTCCTCCATGAAGCATGGCAGGAACGCTCCAGAGTCCCAAGCAGCTCCGATTGAGGGGCATTATTTTTACTGTGGGCAGCTGTACAGCCAGTAGTAAAGCAAAACTCAGGGATTACCTTTAAAATCTGGTGTCTGTGGTGTGGAGTAGGCATTGACATTCTCAATTACATGTGCTGGGTCAATGTTTTCTTGCTCTGTCATCATCAACTGGCTCCAGTAGTCCATAGGCAGCAGCAGAAGTCGCTCCACTACCTACAGAGAGACCCGTGAGCAGAATCATAGAATCACAGAAGCAGCCAAGTTGGAAAAGACCTTTAAGATCATCAAGTCCAACCATTCCCCAGCATTCCCAAGGCCACCACTAACCCCTGGCACTGAGGGTGTTGTATACACGGGCTGTGAACACTTGCAGGGACGGTGACTCCAGCCCTGCCCTGAGCACCATCTGGGCACGGAATTGTTCCTCAGCTCCAGCTAAACCTGCCCTGGGGCAGCTTGAGGCCCATTCCTCTTGTGCCATCCCTTGGGAGCAGGGACCAGCCCCCTCCTGGCTCCATCCTCCTGTCAGGCAGTTGCAGAGAGCGATAAGCTCCCCCTGAGCCTTCTCTTCTCCACACTAAACCCCCAGGTCCCTCAGCCCTTCCTCACCACACTTGTGCTCCAGGCCCTGCACCAGCTCCGTTGCCGTTCTCTGGCCCTGCTCCAGCACCTCAATGTCTCACCTGTAGTGAGGGGCCCAGAACTGAACACAGGACTCGAGGTGAAGCCTCACCAGTGCCCAGCACAGGTGGAAGATGTCACAGACCAGCACACAGCTTTGACACACTGACACCAGACCAGCATCACCTCAGCTCCCTCCAGCAATTCATTTGAATCTGTTAAACGGGACATATTCACCCCAAGCAGCCCCTTGTGCTCATCTACCTTGGGTTGTCGCTTAGTGTCCTGCAGGAGTGTCATAGGGTCAGGATCAGGTACTGCATGGGCAACTATTGTGGGGCCAAAGACTTTGGCCAAATTGGTGATGTCCATTTTAGTCTCTGGGCTCTGAGCCACCCTGTATTAAAAACATTAAGAGGATGTAGCTTCTCCCTTTCACTTGTCATTCAACTCCCCCATCCCACACACTGCAGCCTCTGAATAAGCATTTTTTTCCAGGATGAATATTTTATGTTCACAAGCAATTAAAAAAAGCCAATTACAAGAAGGCACCAGTGGCAACATCCCCCTTTCAGAACTACCAGTCCATTTGGACATACCTCTGCAGGTGGATCATGAGGAAAGCCAGGGTGTCCCTATTGGCCTGAGGAAGCTCACCAACTGCTTGGTACATAGCAGCAATGCTGTTGTCCTCATCTGAGATTTCTAGGGGAAAAAACCCAAAATGTTTAGACCTCAGAAAATGGTCCCAGAGGCACAGCTGCAATATTCCCCTCACAGCAAAAGCTAGCCTGAGAAACAAGGAAGCCAGCAACTTCACGTTTCCTATTGCAGTAATTTGGTATCCCACCCAAGTAGTAGAACTCGTTTCCTTCCTCTTCCAGAAGAGTACAGCAGAAGAGAGACCTTCCCAGCATATTGTACATCATCAACACAGCTGCAAGCATGAGGGCTCCAACAGAACCCTGGGGTCTCCCAGTTGACACTACAACTAAACCTGTGACCATCAAGCCTAGGGAAAGATTTTGAGGGGTCATTTAGCAGCTCCTTACCTGCAGCTTCCATAAAAGTCTTGTTTAACCGGAATGTGAGAAGGGGTTCTTTCAGGCTGCGTAGGAAGTCTTTGAGAAGGCCACAGATAGCATGGATATCATCCACTTTGCTGAGCAAAGGAACATTTTTTGCTCTAAGAAACTTCTCTTTCAGTTCCCTCACTGTCTTGTCACAGCCAGATACCCGGTAAAGGCCTGTCTGTACAGAAAGCATTGCTTAGAGGCACATGTAAAGCTGACATCCTGCTGCTCCCACTTGCTCTCCACACCTGAGCATCCTGCACAGCCACTGTTGCTCACCCACAGTCACCCACTGACCAGCACTATGCACACCATGAATAAGAGATGTTTGGGTTCATTTGTTTCCCTAACACCACAACCCATTTCATTAGCACTGTTTCACACCCCATTCTCTTTTTACCTCATGCAGCCCTCGCTGCTCGATCTCATTAACACAGTGCACTATGATGGAAGGGATCATTGGAGGAGTAGGAGGGACGAAGTCCATCAAGTTCCCCTGAAAGGCAGAAGGGAAAAAAATAAAGGAATATTCAGTCTTCAGACATGGAAAAATACTCTGTCAGGGATTCATAGCGAGATCTAAACTACATCCCATCAGTACCATGTGCAGGCTTGCCTACCCAGAGCTGCCATATTCCCAACTCCACACCCTCCTAATACGGCATCCCCAGCACCTACTACCCTGCTTCTACTCTAGCAAGCTCATTTGGGTTGGATTATGCACCTCTAAGCAACAGGAGCTCTTCTGTAGAAAGATTTGTTGGAGCCTCAGCATGTTCTTCCTTTAACCAAACAGAAGCCCGTTTGTGTTGGCAGCTCACCCAACAGACTCACCTCTCCAATTCTGACAGGAGTGCCTGTCAAGGTGGGGATGCAGGGAAGAGGACAGCGGTCCCGACACTCCGGGTGAGCGACCACGCGGCAGTCTCTGCACTTCAGAGAGATTTTTCCAAATTTCACCCTCTTTCCACATGGGACACATGATTCTGGCTTGATAACCTAAGGATTCAGAGCACACAGGTGAGAAGAGATTAATGCAATGTAGTAACTCAGCAAGACTTTCACATGTGA